TCCAATGGATAGTCTTTCCTCCTTTATCGAATATTAGTTGACCATAAAGTTCAGGGTCCACTTCTGGGTTCTCTGTTCTGTTCCATTGATCTATATGTCTGTTTTTGTGCCAGTACCACACTGTCTTGATGAACACAGCTTTGTAGTACAACCTGAAATCTGGCATTGTGATGCCCCCAGATATGGTTTTCTTTTTTAAAATTCCCCTGGCTGTTTGGGGTCTTTTCTGATTCCACACAAATCTTAAAATAATTTGTTCTAAGTCTCTGAAGAAAGTCCATGGTATTTTGATAGGGATTGCATTATACGTGTAAATTGCCCTGGGTAACATTGACATTTTCACAGTATTAATTCTGCCAATCCATGAGCATGGAATATTTTTCCATCTCTTTGTGTCTTCCTCAATTTCTTTCAGAAGTGTTCTATAGTTTTTAGGGTATATTTTGAGAACCATTTGAATGGTAAATGGTTCTCCAACCTTTTATTTTCAGGTTGTAGGTGTCCTTCTGTCTAAAATGAGTCTCTTGTAGACAGCAAATAGATGGGTCCTGCTTTTTTATCCAGTCTGAAACCCTGCGCCTTTTGATGGGGTCATTAAGCCCATTCACGTTCAGAGTTACTATTGACAGATATGAGTTTAGTGTCATCATGATATCTATTTAGTCCTTGTTTTTGTGGATTGTTCCACTGAACTTCTTAAAGGGGAGTTTTAAGAGTCCCCCTTAAAATTTCTTGCAGAGCTGGTTTGGAGGTCACATATTCTTTCAGTTCCTGCCTGTCTTGGAAGCTCTTTATCTCTCCTTCCATTTTGAATGAGAGCCTTGCTGGATAAAGTATTCTTGGTTGCATGTTCTTCTCATTTAGGACCCTGAATATATCCTGCCAGCCCTTTCTGGCCTGCCACGTCTCTGTGGAGAGGTCTGCTGTTACCCTAATATTCCTCCCCATGAAAGTCAGGGACTTCTTGTCTCTTGCTGCTTTAAGGATCTTCTCTTTATCTTTGGAATTTGCAAGCTTCACTATTAAATGTCGAGGTGTTGAACGGTTTTTATTGATTTTAGGGGGGGATCTCTCTATTTCCTGGATCTGAATGCCTGTTTCCCTTCCCAGATTGGGAAAGTTTTCAGCTAGGATTTGTTCAAATACATATTCTGGCCCTCTGTCCCTTTCTGCGCCCTCGGGAACCCCAATTAAACGTAGGTTTTTCTTCCTTAGGGTGTCATTTAATTCCCTTAATCTGTCTTCATGGTCCTTTAATTGTTTGTCTCTTTTTTCCTCAGTTTCCCTCTTTGCCATTAACTTGTCTTCTATGTCACTCACTCGTTCTTCCACCTCGTTAACCCTCGTCGTTAGGACTTCTAGTTTGGATTGCATCTCATTCAATTGATTTTTAATTTCTGCCTGATTGGATCTAAATTCTGCAGTCATGAAGTCTCGTGAGTCCTTAATGCTTTTTTCTAGAGCCACCAGTAGCTGTATAATGGTGCTTCTGAATTGGCTTTCTGACATTGAAGTGTAATCCAGATTTTGTAACTCTGCGGGAGAGAGGGTTGTTTCTGATTCTTTCTTTCGAGGTGAGGTTTTCCTTCTAGTCATTTTGCTCAGTGCAGAGTGGCCAAAAACAAGTTGTATTGGAACACGGGGGAGTATCACTGGTCCGTCCAGCTGGTCTTCTGGGGGAGGGGCCTGCTGTGCTGATTCTCAGGTGTTAGCACTTGGGGGAGCTGCTCTGCCCCTGCCTGCTGCAGGGCTCAGCGGGGGTTGTTTACCCCGTCAGGCCCCAGGAGGAACAGCCGCAGTTGCTATGGCAACTCTGGAAGCCTGGATTCAGCCTCCACAGGAACTACGGGGCTCGGGGCTCTCGGTTCTCCGTCTGCAGGGCCTGGAGGCTCCGGGGCGGGGCCGCTGATCTGCTCAGCTCGGGGCAGGAGCGTCCTCGCTGTCTCGGGCCCTCCCGGCCTCTGCCTGTCCCAGGGGGAGGCCGGATCCTGGGCTGTGTCCCGGCGCCCTGTGCTCCGGGGCCTGCGCTGTTGGATTCGCGCTCCCGCCCCGCAGCCCCCTCCGCGGAGCCGCCGCCCGAGCCCCTCCGAGCTGCTCCGGTCGGTCCCTCCGTGCGCGCTGCAGCCCTTAGGGAGCTCGGCGCACTCTCCCGGGGCGCAGGTGTCTGTTAGTGTCCCAGGGAGCCCGAGGGCATCCCCGCCCTCCTGGGTCCTGCTCCAACTCCCTGCGAGCCCCTTTCCGCCCGCCCGGGAAGGTTGGTGCAGCTCCTGCTCCTCCGGGACGGGGCTCTCCTGTCCTGGGGACACTCGCCCCGGCCTCAGCCCGGCTCCTCGCGGGGCCCCTCCCCCTCGGAGGCCTTTTGTTCCTTTATCTCTTTTTCCCCGTCTTCCTACCTTGATAGAAGCGCGGACTCTTCTCACTGTAGCATTCCAGCTGGTCTCTCTTTACATCTCAGGCCGAATTCGTAGATTTTCAGGATGGTTTGAAGGTTATCTAGGTAATTTGGTGGGGACAGGTGATTTGGGGACCCTGCTCTTCCGCCATCTTGCCCCTCCCCCTGTTTTAAGATTTTAAAAGAGACACAGCATAAGTGGGAGAGGCAAAGGGGACAGAGAGAGAGAGAGAATCTCAGACAGACCCCATGCTGAGCTCAGAGGCCCACATGGGGCTGGGTTCCAGGACCTTGAGATCATGACCCAAGTTGAAACCAAGGGTCAGACACTTAATTGACTGTGCCACCCAGGCACCCCAAGAGAAAGTAGGTTTTAACACACATGCAAAATTACAAATAATCAGGCATATTCTCAGAATAAAAGGCATTCCTTTAGAGCTATATTACATTAAGTTCCATAAAAATAAAATCACTACTTAGTCTTTATTTTCCTGTTCCTACTTGGAACCATGGAAGCTATACCACAAATTTGTTAATCAGCCCCACATCTGGTAGCCACTTATAGAGAAGATTAAATGAATACTTACAGAGAAGATGAAATAAAGACATTATTAAGTGAATTTTTTAAAAAATTGAATTTAATCAAATGCATGAAAGGGTAGATGTTGTGTTTTGAAAGATTACTACTAAGAAAAAAGTATGAACAACTTTTTTTAATGTTGATTAATTCCAAATTAATACCAGTTTAACTTTCTCTCATAGTTTTTAGATGCCTTTCTTAATATTTCTTACCTACAGTATTAGAATTTTACTTCAGCCCTCTTCACAAAGTGCTCCTATGACCAGAAACCCAAAAATTACAGAGCAGTATCTAGAAGAGAACTAGAAATACATTACTGGAAATACAGAGCAGTATCTATCCTTCTACCAAGTCCTATCGTGCGTATATTTGGAACACGATGTGCAGACAAGGTCAAAGATAAAACAGCTAGTGGATTTGTCATTGAAGGACATTTTTGAATGGAGCAAGTCTTTCAAAATTAGGATGTTGCAGCCCTAGAAGAAAAAGACTAAAATAAGATACCATTAAAGTCTATAAAATCATGATGTTCTTTGTCCTTCGGGATTCAGGACAGAGGCGATTGTACAGAAAATCAAAGGACGAAATAAATGCTCTGGGAGCAACCCTTAGGTGGCAATGAAGGCCAAAAATACAAATATATTCAAAAAGGGTTGAGATGTATTTATAAATTTTAAATTCATAAATCATTAGAGAAAGCCCATATCAAAGCAAATTAGAAATGTTTCCTTAATATCTGTAACCTGTCCTCCCACAAAGTATCCTTCAATCAGATGAGTCATTGACCTACGTCATTGTGCCATTTTTATATTGTCAGTTTTTCATTTGAGTCTATGCTATAGCTCCACTTAATATTGTACCAATACCATTGAGACTAGGCATATCCATTCATATGTTAACCTATGGCTAAAGAATCTACACATTTTAAAAATATAAGTTACAGTATCTCAAACTCAGACAGAAGCCTTTGGGGCAAGGGAAAAAATTGCATATGTATTATTCACTAGTTATCATGAAATAATAGATTTGAAATTGACTTGAAAAGTATACAGAGACATCAGAAATGTGAACCATTAATATTCTTCCCCATATGATTTCATTTCTTTCCTCTCTTTTAAAGGTATTTTTGGTACATCTTCATGTCAATATAAATGATAGAGTAGAGATTGTCCTTTGTGGTTTCCATTCCTGTTGACAATTTAATAGAAGTTCTGCAAAAGAAACAAAATTAAACAAACACAAATCTGGGATCCCTGGGTGGCCCAGTGGTTTAGCGCCTGCCTTTGGCCCAGGGCGCGATCCTGGAGACCGGGGATCGAATCCCACGTCGGGCTCCCGGTGCATCGAGCCTGTTTCTCCCTCTGCCTGTGTCTCTGCCTCTCTCTCTCTCTCTCTGTGACTATCGTAAATAAATTAATTAATTAATTAAAAAATAAAATAAAAAAAAAATTCTTTAAAAAAAAAAAACAAACACAAATCTTATAGGTTATTTCCAGTTAGAACAACTGTGTAGGAACTCCTTTATTCTCACTTCACTTTATATATAAAGTCAAATCCAAATCAGAAAACTTAAATTGACTATAAAAACTCTGTAGTACGAATATGTCACCTCTGAAAGTCACCACATTGCATACTAAGAATGGAAGAAATGAAAAATAAACTTTTAAAATCCAATTTCCAATTACTAAGGTAATCAGTGTTTCCTCTGAGATTTACAAAAGGGTCCTTGGGTTTGGAGGATCTATGGGATTGACCTTTTTCAATGACAGTTTGGTTTTTGTTTGTTGTCTCAGGGAGCCCAATGGCAAGGGGCAGCAATATGCAATAGGATTTTAATTCTATTTTAGTATGACTTCTAACAAACAAATGTACACCCCATGTTCATTCGACAATGTTTCCCTGCCTGGAAACCACATCAGAGATCCAGAGATGCCCTTTTTCTGGTGGCCCACTAGTGCCACAAGACTGGGAAATGCAATCAGCTCAGTAGGTTGAACATTGTTCTGATGACAACTGCTTCTTTCTTAGACAGCGCAAGGATGAGCTGGAACAGAGAATGTCTGCTCTCCAGGAGAGCCGGAGAGAGCTAATGGTCCAGTTAGAAGGTCTCATGAAGCTACTAAAGGTAAGACGTTCAAATAATAAATATTTCCTAGACCTCGGACTACGGCATTTGTAAAAATCTTTCACACATAATGTGCAATGGTATTCCAATTACTATATGTGATTAACCGCAAAATATGGCTTCCATCTCACATATAGGATCGTTTCTTAGATACATCAAATACTAGCAGTCAATTACAAAGCTCATTCTTATCCATTTCCTGGAACCAGACCACTGAGGACCTTCAAAGGACAACTTCTTGGCTTATTTCAAGTTCCTGTGTCCTTGAAAATAATTAAACTGGATTTATTTAGGAATATTTTACATTTAATAGCTTCAGTAATTCTGAATAAAATGAACAGAAGCTAATGTCCAATTCAGAAAATAAGATATAGCCATGAAATCATTTGGGTGACTATAGTTTTATTAAGAAGAGTAACTTAATTTCAATGAAATACTTTATCTCATCTGTGTGGCTTTACCAGCAAGTCACATCACCTCAATGAGTCTCAAATGCAAACTGTAAATCAGAATTTGCTCTCTGCAGGTAGAGTGTTTACTACAATGACCTAGAGAAGGCCTCTGCAGAGTGCTATGATGTTATTATCACCAGGAAGTAGCTTTCTTCCTTTCATAAATCCCTATTTCCTTCTTCAGTATACTCATTTCGAGTCACAAGTAGACTGGTGATGGCCCATTGGCCACAGTTGGCCCAGTAGGGGTGTCGGTGCTATGTGGTTGTCCTGCCTGACATAGACAAGCAGAAACCTCTGTGGATTGGAACTGGGACACACCAAGGGCAGGAAATGAAACTTCTGAAGTGTGAGGAAGGCCAAGTCCCTGGGGCAGCTCACCTGTGAGACAGATGTCCATGCCTTCAGCCTTTGGGTCCCCCACATCCCTGACACATCATCATTTACTGTTTCTCCCTTCCTCTTTTTCTTTCTTTCCTTTTCTTTCCTCTTCTTTTTTCTTTTCTTTCTTTCTCTCTTTCCTCTTCTTTCCTTCCTGTATTTTATTTATTTAGCAAATACTTTTTGAAACCTATTGTGTCCTGGCACAGATATAACTGTTACACTTCTTCCTTTTGTTTTCTCTGCTCTTTTTTTTTTTCTTTGTCAACTTTTCCTGCCATCAGTGTTGGGAATGCTTTATCGCCACAAAACAAAATCTCTTTTTCAGTGTATTAGACAAGTGAAGGGTAGAACTCAGGGTTTTTTTTTTTTTGTACTATATGTATTAAGACAAGACTAGATAACTAATAACTTCTTACTGTGTCTGCCCTATTATCTCATTTTACGATCAAAAAAGCTCTTTCTGCTTTCCTTTTCAAATATGCCAAATGAAGAGGGTTGATCTCATCTTTCCCTTCACTGAATGACAGGAAACCTTGAAAACAGCACCCTGCTTACATTCCTATAGCTTCTGTCACCATAGTGATGGGATAGAGGTCTATTTACTACCCACCATCTTGGCATCCACCTAGCCAAACAAACACAGTCTATTATTATATCAGGGTGTACAAACACCAGGAGAGAGGGATAGACCATGTTGAAAGATGGATGGACATACGGAGAAAAGAGATGGTCTTTCTGAAACACCTAAATAGCCGTGGAACTCAAAGTCACTGTGGTGGGAGAGGCTACCATCAAAGCCATGTTGATGTTTCCCCCACCTTGCATTCCCTCACACTGTATACATGCTCTTACTGGAACCCTGGGTAATCTAACTATTATTGATTCAATCTTTCTGTAGGAAGAAGAACTGAAGCAGGGAGTAAGTTATGTTCCCTACTGCAGGTCTTAACTAACTGTGGAGGGGCCTGCCATCCTGCTGTTTTTCTCATTGCTTTTGCCTCTAATGTATGTTCATGCTTCAGTTTGGAAAGAGAAAAAAATCATACTAATTTGCTTCCTTTTCAATGTAGTGCTTGAATGGACACATATAAAATTTAGCATTTTTTATAACTATTACTACTGTCAGCATCAAAACGAGAGCTATTATATCTTTTAGAAGAGGGAAAAAATTGTCATTTGTTGGAAAGTTTGTAGATCTCCAGTGATCTAAGTTTCAAACCAGTCTCATGTTTTTCTGAGTTGTTGATCAGACCCTTTTCCTAATAGAGAGACACCCACCACAGCCACTAAAGTTACACTAGGAAAAACCCACAGCACTCCAGCTAACCTCTACATCCTCTCATGCTGTGACCATTTAGTTCAGTTTCCATTTTACTGGAAAGGCATGGGACCTCTTTGTATAAAAGTTTCCCAATTGTATCTCTTTCCATTGCATAATTATTGAGCTCTGTCCCCCTGCCTCCCCATCACCAAAATGTGTTCAAAGACAAACACTGTACTCAGCAACTGCTCACTTCCCGTTGTTTAGTTCTTGCAAGCAGAATCCCTACCATTGGTTCATAATAATCTCTAAATAGGTAACTTTCAGCCTTTCTATCATCACCAAGAACCTTTCTGCTCTGGGAGTTCACAAGGCTCTTACGTACATCTTCTCTGGAGGCAGGAACATTGTGACTCTCTTACTCTAGTCTAAACTGGAACCCTACAGCTGACCCTGTGGTCAGGTTCAGAGCCAGCAGGGAGAGTAGCATACTCAAAAAATAACAATAACAAAATAGAAAACAGCAGCTTTCATTTCAAGTGCATGTACCAAGCTGTGTATGACAATATATCCCACTTGCTAGTATTACCAGGAAGTTTCACATTATTTCCATGGATTGATTAGCACCACAGCCTGTCCGATTTGAACGTACCTTTTATTCTTCTGTATTCTCTTTCCTATTATTCATTGTGTGTGTTTGTGTGTAACAAAGAATGTTTGCAAAATGCTGGACACATTTTACCCTTCATTCCCATGGTCTGTAAAAAAGGAAAGTGTAAAACTAATCTGTAATGTCAGACAATAAAGACAATGTATTACACTATTTTGTATTTTGTGAAAAAAATTACTTTACTAAAGTCAAATTTGAATGAGAGACAGTCCCCCCGGGTGAAGGACGCACACGTATAGCCTGTATAATTGCCCATAAAGGCACACACGGAGTATTGCTATTGTACTTCCAACATACTTAGATCATGGTAGAGAAAAATGCCTTGCTGTGCTGCTTCTCTTTGCAAACAGCCTCTTTTCTTTCCTGTCTCTGACTTAGCATGTGCACAGAAAAAGGAAAAAAGGCTCAACTATAACCTCTTCCACCTAGTAGAGAGATAGGGCAATCATCCTAGAGTCAGCCAGCCTTGCTTGAGCCATTTCCTTCATGGACCCCTTTCCTGCCTCTTCCCAGGCCACCCGTTCTGGAAAAGCTCAGTGGACCAGGAGGTTCACAAAGCATGGCAGCACCCATAGAGTATTACTGCCTCCTTTCCTTCCAGCTCCTTCAACGGAGCCCTCCAAGGCTCTGCATCTCTGCACGGCAGCCCTCGGTTGAGTAGTGCTGCAGAGATTCTAAAGGGCCCCTTACTGGCAACACCCAGATAGATGTATACTCAAGTCTCTTCTCGAAAAGGACCCAAGGTAGCTTACAACTAGAGATGTCAACAGTGACTTTATAAAATAAATCTAGAAAAATCAGAAACTGCAAAACAGAAAATGCAAATATGCTAATCATAAGGGACAAGGGTGTTCCTCTTAGCTTTTTGGCAAGGAGGCAAAAAAAAAAAAAAAAGAAAAGAAAAGAAACATATAATTGGTGGTTTTATCAGAACAAAAATGCCAGTTCTCAGGGGATCAAAATTTCTGTTGGCATAAAATATAAAAAGGAAGTCTTCACTCAGAGCTTTAGAGAAGGAGCGCTAAATAATAAAACAGACAAATGCAGCAGCAAATGTCAAGTGGCTGATTATAATACTGACCTTCAGTCAAAATTAAAGACAGAACGCTATGTCCCAATCCTGAACAGGCAGTTCTACAAGGAAATGAACATATGCCGTCCAAATATATAAACTTCCTTTGGTATAACATGATCTAAGGAGAGAATTTAGAGGTTTTAGTCTGGCATCTGCTTCTAAATTCTGTTTTTATTTATGAGCCTTACCCCTTTGGGGACATTCTCTTTGTAAAATCAAATTTAAGACACTGCGCACAACAAATTGTGCTTGATTTAATAACCTCTACTTGCTTTATCATAAGTCTGTGTGGTTCAATGTATTTTATTATACTGGTATATATAATTCCTACTTATACTGTTTCTTGTTAGAGGTAATGCATGAATTTATTCCCCTTGAGGAGAGAACATGAATTTAAAAAAAAATAGTGCCTGTAATATAATATGATGATTATGGTATCATAAGCAATAAATTTTTTTTTACAAAACTTGCATCCAAATTATCCTACCCTCTTTCTTCTTTGCGTATTTTTAAGATTTATTGAAGGAACCATAAAAAGAACACTCATAAAAAGTTTAATAATGAAGGCAGCTGGGGGATAATTGCAATGACAGTATGTTTCAGAGTTTCTGGTAGACTTCCAGTTCCAAATATCACGTCCCAATCTAAAACCAGATATCCTGACTTTGAGTTCAGAACGTAAGGTCTCAATAAAATTTCTTGTAGAGATCAGTGGTGTTAGACCTGATTATAGGGGTTCCCACTCTTTGCTCACACCTGTAAGATCTTAAGTAAGTCCATTAACTTCTTGGTAATTTATTTCAAACATACTGATAATACATGGCTCACAGGACTGTTGCGTAGATTTTCAAAGGTAATGGATGTGAAAGCACTTTTTGAAATACTATGTGCATGTCAGATATTAGTATAAAATTATGTATATATGTATACACATCTGAGAATACGTAAACTTTTCTGACTTGATCCATATTTTACACACACACACACACACACACACACACACATTCATTTCTCCTCCTTCCCGTTAACTAAGCGTCTCAGTCAGAGAAGGAAGCATTTCAGATTGCACCTCCTGGCCCCATTCTCTTCTCTTTACAACTGGAGCCCAGCTAACTCAGGAAGTCCTGGTTGTTTAGGCTCCTATTTTTCCCAAACACATTGTTTGGAATATGAGCAGTTCACCTTCCTGTATTTCCCTTGCTCATTTTCCCAGGTGGGGACCCTGTGGAGTGGTGACACAATCAAAAGTGGCATGGGATGGTGGGGTGGAATTCACAGCATAAATAATCAACTGTGATATTAGGATGACATCTACCATTCAAAACATACCCTCTCAGCCTCTCCTGCTCTCTCTCACAACCTTTTTTAAAATTAGGGATTCAGGGATCCCTGGGTGGCTCAGTGGGTGAGAGTCTTGCCAGGGTCCTGGGATCAAGTCCTGTACCAGGCTCCCCGCAGGGAGCCTGCTTCTCCCTCTGCTTATGTCTCTGCCTCTCTCTGTGTGTCCCTTGTGAGTAAATAAATAAAAAAAAATTTTAAATAGGGATTCATCAGTAAATTCTAGGAAAGTAACAATTATTTCTCAACTTAAAAATTATTTCTCTAACCTTAGCAGATGACCATCTAGTTCAAATCTAGCCCCTTTCATGACATCAGAGATGCCCAAACCTGGCACCGCCACCTCACTAGCCTCAGTCCCCTCCATTCCCTGCAATGTTCCTGGTGCATTCACCGTCCTGGCCTCTTCGCCGCATCTGCGATACCCCTCACTCTTCCCTTCCCTTGCTCATGACACTCTGAGGCCTGGAATGTTCTTCTCTCCTTGCGATACATCCTCTCTTCTGCCCAGAAATCTCCACTATTAAGACCGAAGTCAAGTGCTGCCTCCTGCCTGACCTGTCAGAATTAGTTACCTCATCTGTATCCCCAAAGCACTATGGACACAGCAACCCCATGATGATAGTCAGTGAATGTATATTGGAAGAAAGGATGAAAAGAGGGTTGCATGTGGCTAAACACTGCTTTACTGTACCTTCTGAGGCTGCTAAGAAAAACCAGGCAGACTGGGCTGTGTTCCCAGGCAAACCTGAGAGGCAGACTTTTCAGGGGGGGAGGTGGGTGCACTCTCATATCCTGGTCATCTGCTCAGCCGCATCTCCAGCAGCAATTACACGTTTGGTCCTTTCCCTGAAGCCTCCCTCCTTTCTGGTGCTGAGTAGAAACCAAAATACTTCCTGGAAAAAATCAGAAAATGTATGGATCTTGTCAGACTTCTTAAAAATTGATACAACAGCGGGTTGAGTGGACTCAGAGGATGGAGTGCAGAAATGAATTTTTCATTTATTCACTAGGAAGTGAGCTATTTTAAATTTGCCAAGTATGATGTATGTTTTCCTTTTTCCATAAATCAACTCTCCTCTCAGGAATTTTAGATCTATATATTGATCTGCATCGACCATTGTCCCTTAAGTCTTCTCTCCATTAATCATCAAGTAATTTCCAGGAAAGGATGTTCACAGAGATTACTCCTCCCTCTAGCTCCTTGAAAGTTGTTAGCAGATAGCCATACTTCATAGCCAGGCCAAGAGGCCACCACTCTACAGCGGTCACTACCTGACCTGAAAATGACACTCAGTGATATCTCCACTGATCTGCCCCAATGCCAAGAGGCAATTGCCCTTTCCTAGTGACCCTACAGAAAGTACAGAAAGGAAGGCCAGAGATGGCATTCCCAGGAGCAGGTCCCTGGAAGGTACCATGCATCAAACTGGACAAGGTCTGGACAAAGAGACATGTTCACCCAGGGAGCCAGGGTCTTCCCCCCACCCCCGGGTCTGGACATGCCTTGGGAGATGGGAGTTGCAGGGAAGATGCCACTGAATCTTGTCTCCAGCACAGAATCTCCACTTAAGTTCTTCACATAACCAGACTGCTTGAAATTGCACCAATTAGAGATTCATTTAGGAGATGTTGACTATCAGTCATTCGCACATTGGTGTAATTTAGATTCAGTCCACTGTTTTTCCCTTAACACATAACTATAGTCAATTATTTTTCTCTTAACACAGAACCACTAATGGGAGTTTTGAAGAAAGGAAGCAGGCAGAAAGAAGTAGGGAAAGTTGACTTTGGAGACCAAGCATTATTGAGCAGAGAGAGGACTGGAAATGTCTCAAACACAGTTAGCAAGAGAGCTCAGGGCATAAGGAGAAGGGAAGAGTGTTGCCAGAGGTAGGAGATGACAGACAGGAAGCTTAGAAGGGCCAGGTTAGTGCCCAAAGGGGAGGGGGCAGCCCCCGAGCACCCTGTACTGGACACCTGGATGGAACAGGTGCAACGGAGCAGCTATGTGATGCAGCCCCAGGATAACCATTAAGATACTGAAACACAGACCTGCAGCCCCACATCTGAAATCACTGGTTCCTGATATGTCCATGTCCCAGGACTTCGAATCTCTCAGGTTTTAGAAAGGCAGTACAGTGCAGATACCATATATGGTACAGCCTCACATCAGTTATGAAATCACCTCTGCTGCTTTTTGGATTTCAAGCTTGCATATAAGGGATTTGCACCTGTACTTCTGTACTGACCACGGGCTCTTGCTCCACTGGCGCACTTACACTGTGCCCCGAGACCCAGCAACGGAAAGGTATTTTCCTGTCCAACCGGAAGCCCTACGCAACTACTCCAGCACCACTGGCGGGTGGGTCCAGGCCCTCCGCCTTCTCAGGCTGCTAAACCCTTCTCCCGTAGCGAAGCCTGTGGTAGGTGGTCACTGCTTCAACCTCAGAAGTGGCTGTGGTGCTGTGGGAAAGCCCTGGGCTTGTAGACGTGAGACTAAAGATCCAGTTTATCTCTGCTATTCTCTAGCTCAGAGGCCTTGGGAAACTCACTTACACCTCTGAGCCTCAGTTTGCTAAGCTGGAAAATGGGAATATAAGACCTGATACTGTTGCTAGGAGGATTAAGTGAAATAGTTGGGGTTAAAGTGCCTTAGAGACTGCAAATTGCTATTCAAATATAAGTGACTATCATTCTTAGCATCAATAACAAGAACGAAACCAAACAGTCTATGTAGAAGTGCTTTGTCCACTGTAAATTACATAGAAAAGTGGAGTTGTAGGATTATCATGAACTCCCTACCCCAGAAGAGGTGCCCAGAGTTGAAGGGGTAACCTAGCTGTGTAGCCAAGAGGAGCCTCCTTCTTTCAACCCCTCTGTCCATTTCCCATCCCAATCCCTCCTCCCTGCTATGAAACTGGTCCTGGGTAAAGAGGACAGGTAAGAAAGGGCAAGGAGCCCTGCTGATGGTCCTGCCTGGAGAATGTGCACAGGATGGGTTGCCAGGGGGAGGCAGCCCTCAGGGCTGCAGAACTCCTTTGAGGCACCCCCCCCCCCAGCATCCCAGGCTCTCCCGCTCCAACTCCAGAGCAATCCTTTTCACCTCTCTGAGCATTTGGACTCACAACTGCACATTTAGATGCCTCTTCAGTAGGTCATGGAGAGAAATCAAATCAGTGGGGGTGCCCATGAAAACCCTACTACATGGCAAAGCATGATGCAAAGGTGAAGTCATTTCTTACTGGCAAGGGGAGCAGGGGGATACCATGGTAGCTCAGAAAGCAGAGGTTTCGTGGTTAATGAGACCAAGCTGCCAAAGTCTGCTGGGGGGAACCAGACCCGTCCTTGAGCAGGCTGGGCCAACGGGCTGCAAAGCATCATGCAAGCAGGCACACTTCTCTTCCCTGGGCCCGGACAGACCGTTTAAGGTACTGTTGAGAGTGAAAGAGTGGCATCCCCAGCCCACATGAGTTCTTTGCTCTGCTCTGTTCTGTTTTGCTTCATTTTTAGTCTAGATTTTTCTCAATTTATAAGATTTGACTTTTTATGTGTGATCCTGAGCCCCAGAAAGCTAACAGCATGGCATTTTACAGGAGTTATGTTGTGTGTTTTAACTGCAAGCAGCTGACCCCACACCACAGTCCAAATCGAATATTCCAGAGCACTTCTCCCGTGGTGCACGTCCCTGGGTCTGAATGGGTTGATGCTAAATCTCTCTGGGCCTTGCTATGGAAGAGTCCTCTCTTTCCCTGGCCAGACCCAACAAACTGGAATGGAGTTTATGTGAACACCCAATCTTTGAGTATGCACTGGAGGGTGGACTTGCATTTTTTTACTCCGACTGACTTCCTTTGTAAACTAATCATTATAACCCAGAAACTGTTTCCAAGAAACTCATCCTAGAGACAGAGCTGTGAAATTCAAGGTGTGAATGGTTTCATGCCGAGGACTATATGTAGTAAATGGCTTTTAGTTGCTTTCTACTTTTTTTCCTTACTCACTTTTAAATCCCACTGTTCTTACTGCTAAAATGACTGCTTTGTCACAACAAGAAGGACATTTCCTGCAAGAAACAGTAGCCAAAAATTAGAAACCAAGAGTTCTTTTTTTTGTCTTCCATATTTGAATCCCTGACTCAGAGCAATTACACAAAATGAACTTTTACCAAAAAAATGGGGATAAAGCCATTTATACCTCATTTGATTCTTCATTTGAGACTCAGTATGCACGCTCTTACATGACATGACCCTGCCTATAAATTAGCCTCTAAAGATCATGCCAAGGCAGGTCGAAACTTTAGGAATTATATAAGCCACATCTGTCCCCCAAAGTCTCCTAATTTATATTTCAAACTTTGTTCTAAAGTGTCTTTTTATTCTATGCAGAACTTCCTTCAGGAGGAAACAAACACATCTTGTAATCATCACAGCTTAACAGTAGCCTCATGACAGGCGCACACATCTCATGTATGACAGAACAGGGCTCTACTAATATTCTTAACTTTCAACATGTAACCAAAAGTCCAGATTATAGACAATAAAGTTCTGAATTACCTCCTGCAACTCAGGATTAGGATGACCGGCTCAATCACCTAGGATGTCCTCCAGCTGAGGGGGTGGAGGGTGAGGGGGGCCTTGGGGAGAGATCTCACTGTTACTGTTGCTGGCTTCGAACTGGGGCTTTGGGAAAACAAATTAACGGGTCGCATTGTCTCTCCAGACCCAGGGGGCAGGCTCTCCTCGCTCGTCCCCCAGCCACACCATCAGCAGGCCCATCCCCATGCCTGTGCGGTCCGCCTCGGCCTGCTCCAGCCCGGCCCACACGCCCCAGGACTCCCTCACCGGGGTAGGGGGAGACGTTCAGGAGGCCTTTGCACAAAGTAAGTGGGGGGGTGCTCTTTGTTGTTCTGCTCTTCCACAGGGCTGATAGGACACCATGGTGTGTAGGTTGGCTCGAGCTGCCAGAGCCACAGTGTGGATATGCCAGCACAGTCCTCGTGGCAGCCTGGCCCAAGAGCTGTTCTAGAAGCTCCCGAGGCTAATCTCTTTCTCACATGACCATATCATCTTCTTGAGCTTCTGTTGCCCAGCTCCATTTTTGTAGGAGTCTTTGCTCATTAAGGGAAGGGAAACCCTTTCACCGATAGCCCAGGCCACTCTATAAATGTAATAATCCACTTTCAAATTCTGAAAGATCTTATTTCCTACCTTCTTCCCTTTATGTTAAAGCCAACTCAGGGTTGAGGTTAAACAGCCCCAACTGAGGTGGGATGCAGCCCTGCGGTGATCAAGCAGGGCGTTTCACAGCTGCCCTAAGAGTTGAAGCATCGCCTCTGTAACAGGGGCCAGGAGGTCCAGCCTCCATGGTTAATGCCAGAGGGTGATAAATAGAACAGAATTCTCCTACCTGCTGCCTCTTCCATTCACGCACCAAGGATGGGGGTAGGGTCCTCAAGGCAAGTGATCTTATTCATTTGGAAATATTTTAATCCTTTTAAAACTTTTTCTTGCCATGACTTTTTGAATTTACAGAAAGTTCGACCAAAAATATATATATCTGCCTGCAGACCGTCACCCCACCAATCTCATTCCCAAACGGCCTTTAGCCATTTTTTAATTTATATATAATTTTTTCTCAAATTTTTATTTATACATAATTGCATATGTTTATGTGTGTTTTTATAAACACCTACTCTTCTTTTTCACACAAACAAGACCAAATGCTTTGCATTTTGATATGCAATTTGCACTTTATGTAAGTTAACAATATATCATGAACATCCTTCTAGGTCCTCACATATAGCTGTAAGGAAAAGGGAGATATATTTGATGACGAGTTTTAAGGCAAAAATAAATAAATAAATGAAGTCAAAAAACAAAAAACAGACTGGGGAAAACACTTCCAGCATATGCGGCAAACGAGTTTCACAATTTCAGCTACATATAAAGCATATAGAGAAAAAGACATTCCTAAAACAAAGACATTCCTAAAACAGAAATAGGTGAAGTTTAGGGACAGAAGAAGCATTATAAATTGCCAACAAAGATATAAAAAGATGCCCAGTCTCACAAATTGCTGTAGAAATACAAATATCACCTCTTGCCTCACAGATTTAAAAAATTTTTAACATTAATAAAGAGTGTGAGGAAAGAGACACTGTTATGCATTCTGTATGGAACATAAAATATTTCATTTTAAAGGAAGAGAATGATGTACTCTCCACTATGAGGGAAAAGGAAAGATCTATAATAGGTCTTTTTCCTCTGAAAAAGAAAATAGGTTATACAAAATAACCTTTTAAAAAAGTTTTCAAAGAAAAAAAAAAGTCCTTTCTCTAAATCTCATCTTGAAATTTACAGTATTTTTAATCAAATAGAGTTTTAAATTATAATTGTTTTATCTGACTCCTTTGATTTTTTTTAAATGTACATGTATTTATTATTTTACTTGCTGAGTTTTATTTTCTGTGAAATTACTGTATGAACCGTGGTGGCCTATCAACAGCCCCTAGCTCATAAAGAGCTCGTGCTACTTAAGTTCATCTGTAAGTCAGCTGTTTGGAATCTTGAACCCTTTTTCCCAAAGATGTTATGGGGCCAAGCCTTCTGTTCCATTTCTACCTCACACCCAAGCCAACCCGCAGATACCCATCTAACGCCTCATGTGCCTGAAATATCATCGTAAGCTTCGTCTACCATGAAGGAGTGTAGTCTAAGTTACAGTTCAGAGTACCAGGCATACATCTTCTGCCCAGGTCTTGAGCAGGTTCAAGAATCCCCACCCCTGTTCCATGCTCTGGGGCATTTGATGCCTAGGGTTCCTACTCCCCAGAGATACCTCAAATAGTAGGGGAACTCTGGAAGCTCTGATGAGACAGAGGCCATGAGGATGGAGATCAAACTCCCATGTGCTCAGCTACCAGGTCATGGCTGAAACTATAGCAGCAGCTGGCAAGGTGCAGTTCTCTGGGCAAAACCAGACCTTACATCTGTGTCAGTTTTTCTAAGAAAGGTACCCAGAGATATTAGTTTGCCTGGGACCCTACCGGTTTGTGCCAGGTCACCCAGTCTTGTTATCATGCCACCCCCTTTCACTTGCAAACTTGTCCCAATTTGTATAATAATGAACCCCTCCTTCATCATGGCCCTGTCTTCTTACATCAGAGGCCACTGTCCTAAGTACAGGGTATTTTTTCAGAAAGTGAAGCAAAGCACTTCTGAAAAGGAGAAGTCTTGGAAGTTTTCTTTCCTCAGGATATCAATATAAGTGGTAAATTGCATAAAAATTTGGGGAAAAAATAAGAAAAGCTGTGATTTTTTTCAAATGATCATTTCTTCTTCACTCAAGGTTCAAGAAGAAATTTAAGAAATGACTTACTAGTAGCAGCAGATTCTATCACTAACACCATGTCCTCTCTCGTGAAAGAGCTGAATTCTGGTGAGTTCCTGGTCCCCTCTCATTTGTCTGCTCATTTCAGAGGGACCCATAACTGCTAGGGGCCTCTTTTAGAGATCTCCTCACTGTCAAATAGAAAAAGATATTTTAAGGCACCTGGGTGGCTCAGCCAGTTAAGCATCTGACCTCAGTTCAGGTCATGATCTCGGGGTCCTGGGATCAAGTCCCACAGGGGCTCCTTGCTCAGCAGGGAGCCTGCTTCTCCCTCTGCCACTCCCCCTGCTTGTGTGCTCTCTATCAAATAAATAAATAAAATATTTTTTAAAAAAGAAAGAAAAAGATATTTTAAAGATGAAGATTTTTTTGGTACATTCAGATTTTTTAGTACTGTTTATATTTTGCTGATGAGAAGAATATTAATACATGAGCCAATGTAGAAAGTTTGAAAAATGCAGGGGGAAATAAAAACACTAAAATTGACCTGTGATTCTGGTTTTATAATATCTAGTCTTTGTAACTTGTAATACTGTGATCCAAAGTGACATGATACTAAAGTTATTTTATAAGGTAAATGTTTTATTTATTCATTTAAACTCTGTTCATTTGAAATTCATTGCTATTTGAATGAAGCTAAATTGCAATTTACCTTTGCAATATGTCCAAAGAAAGATCTGCCCAGAAAATAAAGAGCATGACATTGAGACAGACTCTTTATTCTGATAATACTACACAGAGTCTTTAAAATTTTAACAGCATGAATCTGCAAATAATTATCTTACTGGTACATCTCATCTGTTCCTTCAGCCTACCTTGCAAGATACTTGTCTGACATGACTCTGGTTACAAAGTTTGAGATTATAACAATGTATATCTCAAATATACAATAAATATTAAAATAAATAAAGCCAATATTAGAAATAAATAGAATAGAAATAAATAAATAAAACCAATATTAGAAAAAAATCCTGGATTTAAGTTTCTTAAAGCCTCTATAATAAGAATTAAAGTAATGAAAATTGTTGCTGCTAAACTAGATTAAGATTACCAAACAGGATAAAAATGGCAGTATTAATACATCACGATTAGTGGCATGCCCAAGTGCATGATGACTAAAATGTTACTCTTATTGTGGAAGCTTCAAGTACTATTCATTTATATTCACAATACTTTGAGATATTAAGTGAATGTAATATTTTAGGCTTGTATTTCCTAAATTAAAGTAATATTAAACAAAAGTAAGGGCAGTCCTAGTGAAGGCTTTTGTAGAGAGGGTTGAAACAGAAGTGTTAAGAAATTAAGTCAGTCAAGACGCAAAAATTCCTCATGATATGATTGAGATTAAAAAAAAGACAATACTGTATACCCAATGATCTTCTAGAAATTCATGTCAGTATCAAATGTCATTTTGGGAAAAAAAATAATAATAAATTCACCTGACTTATGTCCAATAACTAGTTAATATTTTATACAGCACAGGTTGACTTATGTTAAGCCCAGCCCTTTATTTGCCAGTCATAAAAAAAATCTAAGTAGTTCTTCATTTCTTCAATCATACTTAATAGAGGTGGGGAGTGAAACAGAGAGCAACGTGGATTCTGAATTTGCACGGACTCAGTTTGAGGATCTGGTCCCATCGCCAACCTCTGAAAAGGCTTTTCTAGCACAAATCCACGCCCGGAAACCTGGGTACCTCCACAGTGGTGCTACCCCCAGCACCATGCGCAGCGATGGGTGAGTATCTTCTGTGCAAGGACATTTCTCAGTAACAGAACACTCCATAGGAAATACAGGAAAATAAAAAACATGGTTGCTTCATTTTTTTATTTTGGAAAGGGGTCATATAGTTTCCTTATTTGCCAGAAGAGGTAGGAGGGTGCTACATAGTGAGAGGTGACGTTCCCCCCCCCCCCCCATATCTGCTATATCCAGAATAGCAGTAACCAAAACCAACCAGTGCCTGTTGAGAGCCTGGCTCACCCAAGGCATGGTGCTAGCTGTGTACAAAATAGTATTAAAAAATCACTCTCTGCCTTCCCAGGACTCACAGACCCGTTCAGAGAGAAGTCACTCCATCTTCTAAATGTGCTGTATTTGCCCTTAGAGGACCAGGTGATATTAGAGAGGCCTCTATTCAGAATGGGTATAAACAACATTATATAAGCAGCTGGAATTGAAATAAGTAAATGTCTAAAACCTCATTATAAAGAAACCCAATCTGGTTGACTCATTGCATTTGTATAAATCTGACCTTTGAGAGGCATTTTGCAAGAGATTTCATCCAATTAGGCTTCTGTAGCTTGACAGCAGCAGAATCAGTGACGTCCCCTCCAGACTTCCTGTGTCCCTGGATCAGCTCACACCCCACGTGGACAGGCCTAGGAAACCAAAGCTGAGAAACAAAGCAAGAGGAACCAGGCTGGACTTGCCTGAGCGCAGCAGGGGAGCCTTCAAGAGAGCAGGGGCTCAGGCAGCTGTTAGAAACATGGCCAGAAAAAAAAAAAAGAAACATGGCCAGAGAGGCTCACCAGAGGGTTGCTGAGGGGTTCACTGAGCATTAAAAACTAGGAAGGTGATGGTGCTTAATGTAAAAAAAAATGCTGCAGACTAGTCTACAAAAATAAACTGGCCATTTTCAGGACCCAAAGAAGAAACTTTTCTGGTGTTTTGGATCTCCATCCAAGTAGTGAGTAGACTAGTAATAATAGGGAACTATAAATAGATGTGGTCGGAAAGCGAGTAGTGAAAAGGCAGGCTGAGAGATCAAAACAAAACAGTTCTAACATAATTTTAAATAGCAGTAGGCTGCTGCTTTTAACTTTAGTTTGCTTTCTTGTCCTTTCCTCTATAATTTAGAATTATTTGATTTGTTAGTTATTCAAAATGGTGAATTGTCATCAGTTTAGTCTGGAAAATACCTGTTTGACTTTTTATAATGAGGCATTAACATGTGGTTACCTAAAATGTTCTCGTTCTAATCCAAAAATCCAAGAGTGTATCTAAATCTACCCCCCACTCCACTGTCCCTGGTATGCTGATGGCAGTACCAGCCACCAGCACAGGCTGGGGAATTGGGGAGGGAAAGTTCACAACGGCCTCACAGACCTATTTAGGCTGGCCCCAAACCTCTAAAAATAATGAGAACATGTCGTACAGATATAAATAAACATGAACAATGGCATTAAGTTCCAACCCAGAAATTTCTACTTGACCACTCTCTTCACTTTAGGAGATATTTTAATATCTGTACTATCTAAACATGTACTGAGTTTTACCCTGATAATATTTTAGTCGTATGACTTAGGTAGTAAATTTATGTTTAGTCTCAGGAAGGGTTTTTATAAACTGGGATGGATAGATGCAAATAGAGTCACACATTAGTGAAGGAGATCATTCTTAGCCATTTGTGTAATGATAGAATTGAACAACTTAGGGGATTTCTTAGATTCACAGCTAGTATAAATTTTTAAGATCAAGAGCTATGGGTTCAAGTATTACTTTCCTGACACTGATGAGCTGATATTCTAAGATTTATTCTACTGTAAAAATAAAGTGCATGGGAAAAATAAAAATAAAAAAAATAAAGTGCATGGGTGCATGTGCCTACATATGTGCAAAACACAAAGGGGGTTAAATTATGAACAAGCGTCCTTAATCGTTATTTCACTAGAGGGCTCACTTTCCTTATAGAAAGTGTTCTTGGATTCTATTAAAAAAAAAAAAAAACACATATTGGGAAAACTATATCCTTTCAAAAGATAAGGCTGCCTCTTTTAAGCCTGATAAACACTTTAAAGGCAACTCATTCCCATAAGCCAGAGGAAAACATAGATGACCAATGGTCATCAGCCTGCTATAGAAAGATTGCATGAGAATACCTTGATTATATCTCCAAACCTCCAAAATTGTTTGTTGTTTTTTTTTTAATTTTCTGTTAGGTAACAGAAGATGTTGAGTTGAAGTGAATTGAAGCAAAGAAGCAAATTAGAGGACTCAGTAAATGGGCCTCAAAACTATAGCTAACACATGAATTCCACTCCTACTTTCAAGATTTGCTCCCAAACACCATTTGTGGTCTATTCCCAGGGTCACAGAAGATGGGGACCCCTATGTGCGGCCAGAGGATGAGAACTATGAAAATGACTCGGTCCAGCAGCTGGAGAACGAGCTCAAGATGGAAGAGTACCTGAAACAGAAGCTGCAGGATGAAGCCTACCAGGTATGGGCACCTGGCCTGGCCCCTGGCCCCCAGCCCCCTGGTAGCTGGGTCTTTTACATTACCCAGAAAATCCATACCTTCTCCTTTCTTCCACCCTCCCTCTCCAGAGTATTCTGATTACATTCCTTACTCCACACATTCTAGACAGTAAAAATTGTAAATACTTCTTAGAGCTATACCGCTCACCATGAATTCTTAGAAATTTCTGATCTGGAAAGTGAAAAAGATCTTGTCACTTTAGTGGAAATACAGTGACTAGCAATCCATACTGCTCCAAGATCATTGGGAAAGATGCTTTTTCTCATAGATTAAAAAAAAAAAAAAAGGATACAGAGAACAGGGCCCAAGAAAACTGAATAGTAAGTATAAATATATCTCCTCCCTTGAATCATTTGTCCTCAGCCTCCCTCATGGCCCACCTCATGTCAAAATAAATAAGTAGGAGGGGATCAAATCTCACCAAGAAATGTGGCAAGAACTGGAGGCTCTGTGTTCAACAGGGTATGGATGGACAGATTTTCATATATATTGGAGTATATTACTAATCCATCCGAGAATTCACTGAACTTCACGCTCACAACCGGGGATAAGTGTAATTAGTAAGTCATCCTAAAAGGGATACATTTTCCCCATGAAGATTGTTCTGCAGTGATTGTCTTGCTTGTATGTTTCTCTTCCCTGTAATTCACAGGTATTTTCTTGAGGTCCTGGAAGTTCAGGGATGTTTGCTTGGTTGAGACCTACTGCCCCCCAGACCCTATGGGATATTTCTTCATGCCAGGCTTTCTGTCCAATGGCCAGATAAGCTTCTTCCACACTCGTAGATGAGCGGCGGCCCTTTCTTAGTGAAGGAAAGAGAAGCAGAGAGAATACATTACCTCTGCTTCTCATATGTTTGTGGATTGTTTTGAAATATTTTCCCAAGAAGAATGTAGTAGGAAAGAAACTGAAGCCTACCAACTCCACCCTGACAATATAAAACAAAAGTTTTGCCTCTTTGGAATGTTCCATTAGCCTTTTCAGTTTAACAACCATATTTCAGAAGCAACTAAAATGTAGGCCTAGTCAATACCTCCCCCACCCCACCCCTGCCAAAAAAAAAAAAAAAAAGAACGAAAGAAAAAAATCAGTGACTATGTACGTAAGACCATGCTTCAACACCAAAGTTGCTGGAAATAGACCCATGGAGAATGCTCTTATTTTGCCATTTCTGGGGCCCAGCAACGGAAGGAAATTAGCCTGGATGAAGCTGTGAGGGTATCTCTGGGAACTCAGGATGGCATTCCTACACGTATTTCATTTGGCTCTGCTGTGTAGAGAGAGAGGGATGTGGTTAAATAATCAATGTTCTGGTTCATGCTCTTAGTGGCGCCTCTTAGGCCTCCCTCTTTGAGCCCATATAAGTTTCTGGATTTTGGTGACAACAGTGACTGAAATTCTAGATTTTTTTTTAAAGAGAGACAGCCATTATGTGTAAAATATTAGATTTTTGTTTATTTCAATGAATTGGGAATTTAACCTTATATGAGTAATGAATGAGGGGAAATTCTGTCAATAGCTTAAGATGTACTTGGAGCTTTTGCCAGCTCTGGTTAATCTTAAGCTCTTTCCCTCCTTTCCTTTCCATGCCCAGTGACTTCAAGGGAAAGGCAAAGAAAAAGTGTAGGAGACCATAGTAGGCCTGTGTGTCCCCACTCAAGACATATGCCCTAGAGAACATTGAAGTGGCTTTTCGTGACTACTCTGTGAGCATATGGTTGCTTGATGGATCAGAATGCTGTTTTCATTCAGTGGACTCTCTCTCTGTGTGTCTTTCTGCATGGCTTCCATCCAAATAATTCACCAGCTTGACTGCATCACAGACTTGACATGTCACCTTTCTTGTTTGTGTCCTTTGTCACCCACAGGTCAGCTTGCAAGGTTGAATACAATATCCTTTTATCACTCTCCTTTCAAGTAAGTACTATCTTATTTAGGAGGAAACGTGGCCACTGTACACTGAATTCTGATAACCAGTAACCTAAATTCACAATCACTCTCTCTTAGGTGTTTCTATGTTCTATGTGATAAAATATCCTCCTTCCCTGCTGATATCAAAGAATCATCCGGCCTATGGAAGCATTTCATTATAATCCAGTGGAGATTTGGGAGACCACCTTGGGAATTGACTTTTTACTCTATTAATTAGGAAAATTGGCACAGAAACTTCTATAACACCAGAGATGCCCCCCAGAAATCCTCTGGGGCGATGACGCCTCATCACCAGTCCCTAAGAGCACCTGAGTTGGCAGCCTCTCTGTCGCTTGAGAAGGAAAAGTCCAGGCATGTTCAGCACATCCAGAGATGGGCCAGCCTCAGAGTTGTGCTGTATTCAGGACCCAGAGATCAAAAGTGAAGGCCAAACCGCATATTATTAAAGAAAACAAAAGAAGCAAAACAGAGAGGAAAACTTCTGCAGCCTTATATTTTTGTGGAATTCAACAAGATACAGCTTAATTTATTTAAAATATCATTTATGTGGCATGTGATTCCCCGCTCCCGGGGACCTACCTACATACATGGAGAAGCCTCAGTAATGTGTTTAATGTAGAGAGACTAGCACCTGACCGGCAGGACCACTTGAGTGGAGGGGTCTGAAGCTTAGACCCTGGACTCTGACAGGCCTGATTTCAAACAGGGGTTCTACCAAACCATGGCAGCGTAAATAACCCTGACAAATTATTAAATCTCTATAAACCTCTGTTGCCTCCACACAACATGTTTCACAGTGGAGTTGTCCTCACTGGGAGGTAGTTTATAAGGAGCTTAACGTGGTGGCAGACACACCATACTTTAATATGAGCACACACATACATGCCTGGCACTATGCTTTACAAGTGATTCAATCTGGGGGAGCTGCTATAGTTATTATGTAAGTGTATGGGACCCTCCTGGGACTCACAACTAGCTCTGTATTTTTTTTTTTAAGATTTTATTTACTTATTCATGAGAGACACAGAGAGAGAGAGGCAGAGACACAGGCAGAGGGAGAAGCAGACTCCATGCAGGGAGCTTGACATGGGACTCGATCCCGGGTTCCCAGGATCACACCCTGGGCCAAAGGCAGCGCTACACTGCTGAGCCACCCAAGCTGCCCTTGCTCTGTATTTTTATAAACTCAGCTATGTGCAGTGACTTTATACACCTTTTGCTACACTGTCTCATAAGTCTAGATGGTTTCTCTGGCTCCAGCTAATGGCCATTTAGCTGCCCCACATTACAGTTCAGAGTAAATACCCCTCTCACCGTCTCTGGCTGTAGGGACCCAAGGACTTGTATCTACTTTGGTGATACAGTCTTTCCCAACCACAACCACACTTATGGAATCCCATAAGTCTATAGTACAGCTGGTAGGAAAGTCAACTCTGGCTGTTAAATTGAAAAAAGTATATATATATATATATATATATATATATATATATATATCACACACACATATACATATATATATACATATATATATATAAAATGACAAATCAACTTGCACAGAATATATCCTAGCTCATGCATTACTGACCTCCGTCCTCAGGTTAGTATGAAGCAGGTAGATATCATGGCATAACTGCTGTTAGGAAATATACTTTATGAGCAATGAGGCCTTTTTGGTGTGAAAAGAAGGACCTAACTGACTACATTGTAGTCTCTGTCCCTTGGATTTGAGAATGCCACACCACGTGCATTTATTATGACCACGGTGAAAAAAATTCCCAGGAGCTGTTTCTGAAAACATCGACTCCTGTTATAACAAATCTAGTCCGAAAGAAGCAAGCCTTTAAGAGCATTTTTTTTCTCTTAGTGCCAGCAATGGGATCATTTCTATTCTGCATATTATTTAAACATCAGTCACTAGTTCTTAGAAAAATATTTTTTAAACAAACTAACGAAATGTCCTTGACATAAACTCACATAAGAAGTGACATTTGGTTCTTCTACCTAAAAGCCAAAGATTTCAGTACTCTAAAAGTTCGTAGGCCACTGTTTTAATCTTTTGTTGTCAGTTTGACAGTGGAAAACTGAAACCATTGTGGCCTCTGCCATTTACTACATCATGTACCTATCAAGCTGACATTCCACAGGACTCTAAACAAGAATTAGGGGAGGATCCTAATTCTCAAAATCTAAACAAGAGCCTGTCACTGGATCAGCCACTCAGGCAAAATGTATTTAAAACTTTATGGGTCAATCTAGAAGCCAGTGGCTTCTCATCTGAAATCTTGGAACAGTTTGTGCTACTGAGATCGATTTGTTTGGGCTTTCTGATCCTGTGGCAGGACCAGAAATTGCCCCAGAGCTCTGATCTCTTATCCAAGGGTCCAGAAGCCAACTTCAACCCTGCAAGTCAATTAGGTGTCCACCAGAGCAGAGCCCTACATGAGTAAGGGACAGATGGTGGGACCCCAGAGAAATAGAAGACCCTTCCTCTGCTCAAAAAGAACTATTTAAAGATAAGTATGCACTCACCAGTTCAGGAGCGAATAGAGGAAAACCTTGCCTTTCAACTAGCCTCTTTGGAAGAAATATAGTGTATGTAATATTTAACACTAAATTCAAGAATCCACCAAAATTCCATTTTGGCAGACTCAAATCTTGAATTTGTTTTTTTTCCATCCCTCTCACCACATGGGACACCACTCTCCTTGGCCAGCCACATCCTAACTTCAGAAACTGGAGGCTTGGACAATCAAAAGTGAATTTTTTTTTTTTCTAATTATGGCATCTCAGTGGGAGGTTAGTGGTCTCATTTGCTTGTCAGTTGAGGACAGCACAAATATTTCTGTTTTGTATGCTTTAAGCCTTCAGATGCCTCAAGTACCCATTAAGCAAGAGACTCAACACAGAGGATTCCCATCCTCCCTTTCCAAAGGAGCAATAGCACATGGTGTCCCAGGACACCTGTTCTCAATGGTCGGAGGAAGGGAGGAGAGAGAGTGAATATGTGCGTGTTGGGGGGACGGGGATGATCCTTATTCTCAAAATCCTATTCTCAAAACCCTAATTTAGAGAATAGTTTTCATCTTTAAAACAAAATGACACGTTCCTTATTCCCAGGCAAGCTATAGTCAGACAGATGATGAAGGGAACACGAAAGCTGGTGATGAAGGAGAGCCCCGCACCCACCCACGCAGAGAAGAAGACACCGCCTGGCAGCAGCTTCAGCGCAGAGAGGAGCCGCCACATGCAGCAGCTCCTGACACACCCCTACCCCTAGAGACGCTCTGCCGACTATAGTGCAGCTAACTTTTCATTCTAAGATTTGTAGTTCATAGGTGTGTGTTTTGAGAAGGAAAAAAAAAAAAGACTTCTGATTTCTGTTCAAAGCTAACTTACATCTTCTGTAACATGGCTCATCCCTGATTAGAAACAAAAACCAACTACAGTCATGAGAGAAAGAAAGAAAAGAAAAAGAAAGAAGAAAGAAGGAAAGGAAAGAAAGAAAGAAAGAAAGAAAGAAAGAAAGAAAGAAAGAAAGAAAGAAAGAAAGAAAGAAAGAAAACCCACAGGCTGAAAACCCACGCTGCTGTTACTCATGATGGCAGTATTAACAAGCATTTTAAACCTTTGCACATGATATGGAACCTGTTCAGTTTACAATGACAATACTGTTTATAGCTAGAAGTTTGATTTCTGAATTCTTTGAGATTTTAGCGAAACAGTTTATTATACACTGTACATTTTTTTCCACAGCAATTGGAAAAAAACAACCACTTGCAGAGCCCTACATGAGTTCACTAACCCCGAAGAACTTGGTACCTGAGTGTACAGACTCAGGGCCTAGAGGCCAAGAAGGGTCCTTGGCCTGAACTGTCTGCATTTGTCTTTAAGTCTCTATGAGCAGTGACTTGAACCAATCACACCAGGATAATCCAGTCTTTGGGGCTTCTTTCCAACTTGGGGTTGTTTTCTTTCAAGATACTCTAACAAATCAGCCATAGAGTTTAGTGTAAATATTTTTTCCAAATAGATATCATATTCAAAACAAAAGGCAACATTCAAATTATATAGAATCTAGTTTTTAAAGTCAGCACAGATCTTCTTAAAAACTGTGAACTATGTTTTGAAATACTTGTTGCTAAAGCTGTTTATAAACCACAGGTGCCATAAGATCCCCAAACGGACTCAAGTTATCTCTGCTCTTCCATGGGCTCGTTCCTCTCGTTTTAGCTTTAGGGAGCATGTCTAACCACACCGCTCATCCACAAGTTCCCCTATCAGGTTGTCTGGAGGCCTTCAGCTTTAAATGTACAGGCTTAAAGTGCGCTTGCAAATGCTCACTCTCCTTTTATTTCTGAATGTTTATTGCCTTAGCTGGCTACCTGGTGTTCTGCATGCAGCCTTCTGTGGTCATGTGAGAGGAAACAGGCTCTTCTAAATGGAGTCGGGATTTTGCACTCAGTGAAAAGCTGATGTTGCAAAAGCACTGTCGAAGAAGGAAGAATGAAAGCCTCTGTTGATGGTCCTTTATAATGGCCCTTGTCAGGAAGCGTTAAAAACTTCCCTTAGGGATTCTGGGGAAATGAAAACATAATCTACTTGTTTCAGGATTTGATGAAATAAAAATCCTGCAACATATTGAATATGTTTTACTTAAATGGCAGCTTCTCTGGAATTCCTGTCTCCTTTAAAAGAAAGTAGAGAACGTCTAGAACAGTGGCTCTCAAAATGTGCCCTGGACCGGCAGCATCAGCATCACTTGGGAATTTGTTTAGAAATGCAAATTCTTAAACCCCATCCCAGGCCTGCCGAGTCCCAGCCACCTGTGCTTTAATAAGCCCTCCAGGTATTCCTGGTGCCTGCTGAAGGTTGAGAGCCATTGCTTTAGAATAAAGTTGCATAGTAAAATCTCTAAAAAGGCCATATTCAGAATAAGCAAGAAAGGTTCTGAGTCAAACTCATGCTTCAGCAATTCGATTTTGCTTCCAGGGCTGGCAAAGAACTTCTTCCAGCCATGTGTTTGGTAGTTGGTGTGTGCCCAACTGAGAAGACATCCTGACACCTTCCAGATCCCTCTCTGGAAGGTTCTAAGTTGTTCATGTCTCTGCATTTGGTCAGAAACCAATGTCCTTGGCTGCCCTTTGGAACAAAATTGTTTGCCTTGGGGATAGTAAAGCCCTCCGCTGGATAGTAAGAAGCCCATTCTCTCCGTTGATGTGCTTCATCATACTTCCCCAGAGAAGCAGCCTGACAGATGTCCCTGAGGACAGGCTGACACCAAAGTGGCACAACTGCACAGTTCTCAAATTTCTTTGCACAGATGGATTTTACTAGGAGTTTTGTTGATTTTATCTTAATGTTCATCTCCTTTCCACTGCCCATCCTCTGTGAAACCATACCTCTCTAGATGAAGTGGGTGGCCCCTCGTGCCTCATACTCAGTACTTAAAACCACTACATCTCAGCTACCTACATTGCTGTCAGCTCTAACTCATAGCCAGGTAGTTCTTGAACTCAGAACTCTGATCCTGCAAGTGGTGTTCAGCCACCTACTGGACTGAGCTGACATCTGTTGTCACTTTGTGTTTCTACATCAAAACGCTTGTCTAAGGTTTGAATAGTTTTGCTGATAACCTTCCCCCTTGTTGTAGCTGTCATTGCCAACTTCATGGCATGGTGGTCAATAGCATCGTACAAAGCCATTGCAAGGACTCTAGAAACTGCCGCCAGTGACCAGTCCCTGACTAACCAGCCACCTTTTCTTTCTCTTAGCTCCACGTCAGCACTGAGACCAGACTCAAGCACCCCTGTCCTGTAACCGAGACAAAATGGCGTGTATTGTTTTGGGGTTTTGTGGTTTGGGGTGTGTTTCTTTCGTTGGCTCTCCAAATTTACTTCTGGGGCCTGTTCTAAGTGCAACCCAGTGGGTTTCACCTGTCCTGTCCATGAGATACAATTCTATCTTGCGGGGGTGGTTTCTTTCTTGTTCCACAATGAATTGCACATCCAGGTTCATCAGAGATGATGGCCTATTAATGAGCACTGGTCTAATATAACCAACTTCCCCCACAGCGCCATGTAGATGGAGGGAGGAAGAGTGGGAGGGAGGGAAGAGGGCAAAATCTACTGTATTAGATTCAGGAATCAGTTGTGGTTGGTCAGGACGCAAGTCAGGGTAAGTTAGGTTGGTCAGAGGGAGATGTACTGGAGATTGTGAAAAATGGATTCTTGAGTGATCTCTATAAGGCAGGGAAGGTTCATTTGTAAGTAGTAATGTGAACTGAATTGCATAAGAGTGTGGCCTTTGTTGTGATATACTATGTATTTTCTTATATGCATGAGCCAAACTGTTGCATCATAATTTAGCACTGATGTCTGCTTTTATTTTTATCATCTTTGTCCACCCTTATTAGTTCTTGGCTGTTAACTCTAGATAGACCTTGTAAATACGGCAACCTTTGGTTGCTGCAATCACCTTGGTTTGAATCCACGCAAGGAGCCACAAACAAGAACTCCACTGTGTCCTCAGAAGAAAGGGCATTTTTACTTTTGAACCAAAAAGAGAAAAAAAAATCAGAAATGTTACATCTTGAGGCTAATTAACTGTAAGACATTTCTAATTATGACTACTGTCATTTGACACCATTTGAAATAACCAATTCAGAGACACTAAAGATTTCACAATCTTCATTGGTATTGTAACAAAACTACTATTGTATGGGGTTTTTTGTATTGCTGTTAAGTATTGTTTTGTGTGTGTGTGTGTGTGTGTGTGTGTGTGTTGGAACCTCCGGGGACATGTTATATTTTGAAGTGATTAAACTATTTAATTGTGTGTCTATATTTTGGAATGGAATTATTTCTTCATTAAAAAATGTTTTTAAAAACACTATATCTGTGTATTTTATTCCTTTGTTGTAACGGACTTTTCTTAAAGCAACACGGAGTCAATCTGTTCAAAGGAGAAAGACAAGGCAGCACATCCAGTAGGAAGCAGGACACATCATTTGAGTCTTAAGCAACTACAGCAAAATATCTCACCTTTCGCTACCTTTGGAGACACACCTTTTTTTTAATGGAAAACCTTGTTGTAATCAAAAGGGGATGAGTTTGAGAATACGAAGAGTTCACATATTTAGTGCTCGCTTTATATCTGACACTGTTCTAAGCACTTTATGTAACTTGACTCAATCCTTCAAATCCCAGCATCTACCCAGGTACTTGGCAATTATGAGCTCCACAACTATGTGTTGAATAAATGAATAAATGAATTAGCTTTTGTTTTGTTTGTGCTAGAGCTGGTAAGAAAGGAGAATCAGGGACACCTGGGTGGCTCAGCGGTTGAGGATCTGCCTTTGGCTCAGGTTGTGATCCCGGGGTCCTGGGATCAAGTCCCACATCGGGCTCCCTGGATGGAGCCTGCTTCTCCCTCTGCCTGTGTCTCTGCCTCTCTCTCTGTGGGTCTCTCATGAATAAATAAATAAATAATTTTTAAAAAAAAGAAAAAGAAAGAAAGGAGAATCAGCACATACTGGAGGTCAATGTGTTGATAGCAACAGGAATCAAGAGTTCCAAAGAGTTGGGATCCCTGGGTGGCGCAGCGGTTTGGCGCCTGCCTTTGGCCCGGGGCGCGATCCTGGAGACCCGGGATCGGGTCCCGCGTCGGGCTCCCGGTGCGTGGAGCCTGCTTCTCCCTCTGCCTGTGTCTCTGCCTCTCTCTCTCTGTGACTATCATGGATAAATAAAAATTTAAAAAAAAAAAAAAAAAAGTTCCAAAGAGTGGACAAACGGAGGTAATCACTCCCTACATTCTCATTTCCCTTCCAAGAACCTCTGGATTCCCATGCAATGGTGGGCTGTATGCTTCATTTGCTCAAGGAGCCATTTCCTTTGCGGATCCAATAGCAGAATCCATGAGTCTGTCTCCAGCACTTCATGAATGGCATTTCTGGGAATTCTGACTTGGAATGGTGCTGCAAGTCTCTGCTTGCAGAGTCTGGGGTTGATTTACAGTTCATGAGAATGCTATAAAAACTCAAAAGGCACTAGAGAAAGAAACCAAGAGGCTGGGGGATCCCTGGGTGGCGCAGCGGTTTGGCGCCTGCCTTTGGCCCAGGGCGCGATCCTGGAGACCCGGGATCGAATCCCATATCGGGCTCCCGATGCATGGAGCCTGCTTCTCCATCTGCCTGTGTCTCTGCCTCTCTTTCTCTCTCTGTGACTATCATGAATAAATTTTAAAAAAAATTAAAAAAAAAAAAAAAAAGAAACCAAGAGGCTCTGCTATACATCTATGCAAGGGCAGATCCTGACCTCATATAACCACTAGTCGGAGCTCAGATACCCTCTCCCATTTGGAGGTGGGCAACAAAGGCTTGCTTAACGGTGCCTGTCCAAGTCTTTCTCAGCTGCCTCTCAAGGCCTCATCTCCTCACCTCCTCGGATCCACATTTTAGCTTTGATCCCTACCTCAGCATTTCCTAAATGTATCTAACTGCCAAAGTCACCTGAAGAATTGATTAATCTGAATTAGCAAGTCCAGATGAGGGCCAGGAAATTGATATTTTTAACAAGTGCCCCAGGTGATACAGTCTGACAAATTTTAAGAACTGCTATCCTCTTGCTACTCAAAATGCGGTCCAAAGACCAACAGCATCAGCATCACCTGGGAGCTAGTTACAAATGCAGAATCTCGAGCTCCATGCCAGACCCACTGAATTAGAGTCAACATTTCATCAAGCTCTCCAGGGACTCTGTGTGCACTTTAAAATTCAGGAGGCCCTGACCTGAAGTCCCCCTTCAATCCTAGCCTTCCAGGATTAGGTTCAGTTGGGTCCTTCTTAAACCAAGATAGTGCAGTTCTTCTCGAACTTACAGAGTTTTGGTTTAGTAAGTTTGGGTGGGCACTGAGCTCTGCATTTCAAGCAAGTTCTCAAGTGATGCTGATACTGACCTGAGGACTACTCTTTGAAGTACAGGGCTATGGAATTCTTTTAAATAAGGTGAATTCTAGGGAGCTTGTGACTAGTGAGTCATATTTGTGGATTTCTACACATAGCAGGAAAGATACTCAAGGCTATGAACTTGAAAGATACTCAAGGCTATGAACTTGAACATCACGGAAGCTCAGTTGGTTGGAGTCCCTTGGGTAACACCACAGCAGCTAAACTCTACTATGAGCTATGAAAGACTGGAAGCAGCTAAATTTAAGGATTCTGTCAAAGAAGAATCTTTTGCTCCAAGAATTGAGGCCCCTGTCTCCACGATACAAAGAATCATCTGGGAGTATGACTCAGTGGCCCTACTGGCCCCAAAAGGGCAGATATGCCAAGTTGGGATAAGGCCAAGCGTGGCGAGAAGAAGTTGGCAACATTTCAGATTCATCATCCCAACAGAGCACATCAGCTACTGAGACACCCGACACCCAGGAAGAGGTTCTCTGGGCACCTTGGAAACCTAGAATTCTGCTCTCTGGGATTCTGATGCCATGGACTATGCTGGGACACTATGTTGTGATGGAGCCATCCTGCTTTTGAGACCACAAAGATACATGAACAAGGATGTTTGTGGAGCTTGGCTATAATATTAGAAAGAGCATACATGGACACTAATAAGGGAAGACTTAAACTACTTATGGCCTGATATGCTAGGCTGGAATACTAAAAGCCATAAAAAATGATGATTAAAGAGATATATTTCTAAACATGGAAGATATTTGCATAAGTCATGCAAAACATCAGATTACAAGAGTATAAGAATGATCCCAGTTTGATGAATATTTGAGTGCTTCTTGTGTATAAAAAAATACACACCAAAATGGTGATGATCTAAATCATGGGACTGTGGATGATATTTTTATTTCCTTCATCATATTTTTCCAACTTTTCCAGATTTCGTGCCATAAATAGAGTTAATGGGAGAATGGGCGTATGGATAAAAAACAGGGTTGGTCAGTTTCCTTGTTTTAGTAACAAGGCTACTTGAGTTGGCCAACATCTTTGAAGGGCATGTCTAACAATGAGAATTTTCTATGCCTTCAATAAACAAAGGATTCTCTTTTTTGCCTAGAGACGCTCAATAACATTGATATGCCACAGAGCATTGGAAAATATGTATGCTTGCTTTATTTTAAAGAAAATCAAAAATATCAGAGGCTTATGAGTCAGGTTAAATAATGACAATGCTTCATCCTCTTCCCAGCGCTAATTGATTCAGTGATAGCAAGTGAACCAGGAATGCAGGCCATGCACATTTTCCATGTCTGGTTCTGGTGTCTCATGTGTAAAATGGGGCTAAATCACAATGGAGATTGGCTCCTTTGCTTTCCAGTCTCCTTATTGTGGCCTCAGGAGGAGGGCCACTGAGGATAAGTCTTGGGCAAGAATATTTGTTGGAACACAAATGGCAGTAGGTCAATGGTTTCTCTGGCATTCCATTTTTCTGGAAGTCTCTGTGGCTGCTCTTGCTTGAGAACAGATACTTCCTGAAAATATTGAGAAGGACTAATTAGACCAGCTCTTGTTATAGCCCTCCAAGAGAAACTTACTTTTACTTTCCCTGGAATTCTTTTCTTGGCAAATACCTTTCCTTGCCATGAGTGGGGGGAGTGAGAGTAGGTCAAGAGGATTAGGAGAATGATATGCCAAACTCTCCAAGTGATCAAGTGTGCCAGCTCTAGGCTCAACTGTGCCAACTCTAGGCTGAGGAAGTTCTCCACACACTCAGTTTCATTCAGCTAGTATGTAGGACCAACACTTTATGGTAATAAAGAGTGATCATTTGCCTGGACCTGCCCTCATTTTTATACATTGTGTGCCAAATAACAGATTTATAATGAATTTTATGCACCTTTTATATTATAGAGAAAATTTAAAGTAGTGTCACAAATCAAAAACATAATGTATTCCATTT